GCTGCGAGTCCTCAAAAGGATCGTCAACTAGAGGAGAAATCGTGGAGTTGTAGTAGGTCTTCCAGTCGACGAGATGCGAAAGGAGGTACTCTAAACCCATAGTGACCTCCCACAGTCGACCATGCCCATCCTTAACCCCCCAGCCCTCACACCTCTTCGTCTGGCGATAAAAAGGCTCCAGGATCATTTCCATCTCGGCAAGAACCTTCCAGTCGTCGGAAGACAGTAGATCCGCTTCCGGTATATGCTGTTTGACGTCGTCGTCGTCGTTATTCGATAGTATAAAAGCCTGGATCTCATTCTTCTTCTTGATGGCTCTCTCGATCATGAGATACGTACTGTTCCAGCGAGTGTCGTTATTAGTCGCGTTGTCGGAAATGTTACTCCGATCCGGTTCCGGATCTTATATCGACTGACGACGTTAAGGAGGGTCTCCGAGAGGGTAATACCGCTATGATCTCCATGGTGTTGAGAGAAGCCTAGGAGGCGTGACCGTAACGTGCCGTTGGCATCGATGAAGTGACACGTGACGCCCATAAAGGCGTAAATATTGGGCGACGACTATAGATCGAATGACAGGTGTATTTTCGATACCGCTAGGTGGAGCTCCGTCGTCACGAGACCCTCTCCGCGCCGGCAGAAGTCTTGGTGACGGTCCCGAATAGACGTATAACCCCATGGGACCTCGTTGGCGACCTCGTTACTATGGTACCGTAAGATCTGTTGGAGGAAGTTGTTCTCAAAGTGGGTAAAAGGGAGGTCGGCGGAGACAATGGAGGCAACGCAGAGATCCCTTAGAGTCGTGATCTTAGCCTTGGGAATGTTACTGTTGTTGAGGCGCACCCTCTTATATGGAGGAGGGGTCGATGGGTCTGATGAGGAGGGTTGGGTGTCAGCGTCAGAATCCTCATCTGAGAGGGTTGAGATCTTGCAGATGCGATGGGCACTTCAGCCTCGTTAGAGTAGACTTTATATGAGCAGGAAGCTTAGGATAACATACCGAACTAAGAGCTCTTGCGTAGCAGTAGTGGCAGCAGCGCCAAATACCCTAGGGGACCCCTTTAAGTCGCATCGTCGGCAACTCCAAAAGGAGGGCCCAGCCTGGCCCTGAATAACCTCAACAAGGAAGTCGCCATGATCTCGAATCCAGCTGGATCGACCCCGGCCTTTCAGCCGAGCTCATTGCTGTTCGAGGATGTACCTCTTACTGCCCACGACGATGTGATATAGGTCGTTAATCGTGGGATTCGGAGGGATACGGACAGTGAGGGCCATCTCGATCTGCGTAGAGATCCGCAGGCGCGGGGCGCCTAGGACCGCATACGCGTTGGCGGAGGAGGAGGAGGCAACAGCAACAGTAGACATCGTGAAGCTCAGTAAGGTAATAGGGGTAAATGATGAGGGTGATGTGTGATAATACAAATCTTTTCCAAATAACGTCCGATCATAACGTTAAATAAACCGTTCGAATCACTATGATCTTATCTACTTGTCATAAACCTTTCAGGAAGATCCGCCTTCGTCTGGTATGGTGAGGGTAGTCTGAATAACCTCCATAACATATGTGATGGCGAGGTTGGCAATATTGGCATGTTTCAGTGGCTGGGCATGCCCAAATAAATGGGACAGGGGCTGATCTACAGCCTCCTATTGGCCAGTATATAAGACATCAAGTTATTCAACAATTCTATGGGGTGTCGACTTACTCGATTGGGAAGTGGTGATGGCATCCCTTTGCTTGTTGGACTCGAATACTCTGTTGATTAACTTGCACTTGCGGGGGCGCTGTCGCTGGGATAGCAAAGACGTCGAGGGCAAGTTTACTGAGCGTTGGGAAGGTCTGTTGATGTGAAATCCACCACTGAATAGGATCGTCGACGGGCTGGGCAACTGAGAGGGTGAAGTATCGATCCAGCTCGTCAACCTCGTCGATAGTAGCGTCATGGAGGCTGCTGTTTAACCATTGACGATAGTCAGAGTCTTCAACCCTCGGAGGAACTGCGATCGATACAAAAGAGCCTCGCGGAGGCTCTGGAGGAGGCTCTGGATAGGTTGATTCTTTAGGACGGGTAGTCATCTCGGCATACCATTGCTCCCAATAGTCTCGAAGTCCTTCCTGGGCGTCATGAAGCCATCCTCGCGTCTCTGGGGTGTTCCAACGCTTCTTGAGCCATCGTAGGCCCCGGCCAGGGTGTAAGATCACTGCTGCGGCGTAGAGAGGAGACTCTCCAAGCTTGAGGTAATATTTGTTAAGTACTTGCCAACCATTAATAATCGATAGGCGTAAGTATCCGTGAGAGTCGAAGTTAATACCCTGGGGGCGGCGAGGTTGACTCTGCTGCGAAGTAGCGATATAGTCAGACTGGGTATGAGTTGGGATACTGTTGATTGATGGGGTCTGCGAGACTGGCGTTCTGGCAGATCGATGCGATGCCCTTGCTGGTCGAGATAGCTGTGATGAAAGACTTTGGGATACTTGGGTAGCCGTGAGGTTAATCTCTTCGGTAGTAGGGGTATCGTAAAGCTTGCACCAGTCCTCGAGTCGATCCAAGAGATACTCGATGCCTGCCAGAACCTCCCAGAGTCGACCATGCCCGTCACCCTTGCCCCAGCCCTCACATCTCTTGGTCTGCTTATAGAGGGGCTCGAGAACCTTATTTAACTCGACGAGGACTTGCCAATCCTCGTTAGTAAGGATATCCTCACTTAGGACGTGATCTTGGTCATTTTCGAGGCCCAGAGTATAGCATACGTAACCGTTGATCTAGGTGCGTTTGAGTAGGGCCCGGTTGATCATGTTGTATGTCGAGTTCCATCGAGTAGTGTTACTCAACATCAGATTCAGCTCTTGTGACGATTCCTCCTACAGAGTAAAGGCATCATCATTATTAGCAGCCTCGTTACTAATTACTAAGAAGCTCTCAGAACGTTGTGGCGATGATCTGATATACTTGATGATGGTCCGGAGCTTGCCGACTGGGCCCCTAGTCCTCCAGTAGGCTAGGTCCTCTTTCACTCTTCCAGCGTTAATAAGACGGTCAGACTCTTCCTCAAATGCCTCCTCATCAACGCCATGAATGATGACACGGCCAACGAGGTTGAGGATGTGGCCATAGCATCGAATTCGACGTTGTTGAGCGTCAGTTTTTGTATATAAATGTGATAGAGATGGGTAGAGAGCCTTGATACAAGTGTCGTTAGCACAGGCGTTGTCAGAGACTGTCACACCAATCCTGTTGAGTAGGTCCCAGTCCTTCATAACAGTATGTATCGTGGTAGCAACATTCTCACCAGAGTGAGCACCAGGCTGGCGGCGGAGACCTAAGAGGTACTGCGTCTGTTTATCCGACTGGTTGATGAAGTGGCTGTAGATGGCGACGATAGCGTATCGATTGGGTGAGGTCCACAAGTCAAACGATATGTGGATCTTCGAGATTGCCCTCTGTATCTCGGTCTTGATCTGTTCCTTCTTGGATATGTAGAGTCGTCGAAGTTGTTCCCTCTGGCTAGATCTCGACCACCGGATCTGGGCGTTGACGTCGTGATTAAATAGGCTGAGCATGTGCTGCAAGTACTGGTTGCTGAACGTTGTGAGAGGCTTGCTGGTATCAACGAGGAATCCCACAGCTAGCTCTTCGATCTGGGTAGTTGTCCGCTTATATATGGCGATAGGAAGAGATTGGTGGCGCTTGGATGGAGGCCCAGGGTCGTCAGCCTCATCAGAAGACGTATAGCCAGCCTTCTTGCCACCTCGGAAGATGGAGTGCTCGTTCTCGAGATGCCTGGCAGCAGCAGATGTAGCGTTAGCGTTGAAGGGCTGGTCTAGAAACCCTGCCTCGTCGCAGCGTCGGCAAACCCAGTAGGCATTACCCCTCACGCCGTTGGCAAGGATCTCGTAGACAAAGATGCCCTCGTTTGTGATCCAAGAGGTACGGCCTCGGTTACCCTTCCTCGAGATGGCGTCAACGTTGACGAACCGCCGGCCCTTCCATATGGCGTAAGGTAAGGCGTCGAGAGTATTGCGCGTGGCTAGGTCGGCTGTCGACGCGTTGCTGGCAGCAGTAGATGACGCGCGAATCTGAGCGGCGATCCCGCGAGGAGTCGAGGCCTCGCGGCCGACGAAGTGATCAATACGTGGATTGCGGGCCGGCAGAGGCATCAGGGCAAGGCTTGAGGGGTTGAAGAAGGCGTTGACGATGGCGTATAGGCGTATAGGTAGGATTCCGAAGGATTGACGGCGTCGTCAACGAGGGCAGTGGTGACGTCGTAAAAGCGCCGTTTTTCAAGGGCTGGCAGAAGGGGTCGAAAAAGCCCGTTTTTCAACCCCTTGCAAGGGGCCCAAAAACGCGTTAATTAAGCCTTACAGCAAAAAGCGCGTTTTACTGGCACTTCCTGGCAGGACCTAGCAGTCAGGCTAGTACTGCCAGGAAGTGCCGGCCCCACTTGGCCACCTGTTAACGTGAGGGCATCACCAACTCGACGTCCGTAACATACGCGGATGGACTTTTTTTCATTTTTTGAAAATTATTTCAAAAACCATGATTAGTCTGGAGCCCGGATTTTCCTTTTTCCGGGCAACGTTAGCTTGATCAAGTCAGCCAAGCTTTCGGCGCTGTAGGCTTGTCTGATTGAATGGGAAAATGGCCTTGGATTGATTGGTTGATTGATTGATTGATTGATTCGGCTTGGATGGGATGCTGCGCTGTCCGCAATGGAAGTGATTCCGACGCCGCCGATAACCATAGCGAACGAGGCCTTGTGCCGCACCACAGGGAGAACGATGGCACGGAGATGGACACCATTCAGACTCCAGACGGCAAGGCATCAAGAATCCAGAAACAAGTTGAAGTAGAAGTCAGGGTGGACAAGGCGTCGGCTCGGAGCGAACGGCCGACTTACACGTTAGGACAAGGTTCGAAGAGCTGGGTGTCAACGACGACGTAAGGTGAGAGACTATGGCATCGAGAAGAATTTGTTAGTTCCGGTAGATCTATCAAATGGAATAATTTGCATGAACATGATCGCATTGAAATGGGTATATCTAAATGGCAGATTTCTTTGAATCGGACAAACAGTCAAGCTTTTGAGATCACCTGCGGAGCTCCCTCAAGGCTTCTCCTTACATGGACGAATATGTGTAACACAGAGGGCCACTCAGGGTGTCCATGTAATCCTTAACGATAGGCTCGACGTCAGCAAGCTCCAAAACAGGCATGGTATCTGTGATGGAGGCGGAGATGGTCTTGTCGGGGTTGTTGAAGCCGGCGTAGTTGGCTAGGCGGGTAGCATTGCGCCCTTGCCACTGCGAAGGAGGTTAGGTACTGCATCTCATGCTGTTTCGCTCAGCTGGTTGTGTGACTTACCTTGGCCCAGGCACGGTCAACATTGCCATGGTGGAGGAAAAAGAGAGGCTCGTTGGGCGAGGTAGCAGGACCCATATCGCCAAAGATGATGCTGTGAACTGCAAGTCTGTTAGCGTGATCGAAGTCTAACGGGAATAAGGGGAACCTACTCTGCGCGTGCGGCAGTCCCTCGAGCATAGAGACCATATCAGGGAACCTGTCAAAGCCGTAGACGGTGTTCATGGTCCTCGAGTTGTACGCTCCCGCCTGCATATCGCCAATGATAGGATCGCCATTTGCGTCGTTGCCCTCGCCGCCGTTGAACTCGCGCGCGAAGCAGTGCAGCCGGTTTCCGGGAGTGTTCATATCAGGCCACCCCATAGCCAACGTCAAGTTCGTGTTGGCAAACGGACCATCGACCACGCAGCGCTCGAATCCGGGTACATCGCTACCCGTGCGCTTGCCATCGCCACCGAAGCCAGTGACGGGGTCAAAGACGGGTGAGTGCTGGGTATCGAGGGCGTCGGCGTCGATGCTCCAATCCCAGTAGGGCTGCGTTCCCATGAAGCCGCACTCGGACCGGAGGAGATCCTCGTGGAGCTTGACGTACCAACGGTGCCAGGGGAGGAAGTTTGCGACAAAGTGAATGTCGGTGTTGAGGGCGAAGTGGGTGTAAACGAGGTCGTCCATCCGCGTTGTGACGGCGTCGATGGCGGCGTACTTTGCCTTGGGAAGGGTACGGAGGCAGACGGCGGCGCGGATGTACTCTGCTTTTTCGGCTGTGGTGAGTTCACGCCATTCTTTGCGGACCTCAGGATTTGTGCAGGTGGTGTCGGCACGAGGAATGGCCGTTGCGGCGGCCGTTGCTGCGAAGGAGAGGAGGGTGAGGAGCGAGCTGGACAGCATCGTGGCGATGAGGGTAGTTTGAACGAGTGACGGATGGTTTGGTCTGCAACGAAGGACGGCTCAAACCCCGAGCTGATCAAGATTACGAGGATGACGATGGAGCGACTGTGTGTGACAACTGGTCAAGGACATATTGAGAAACTGGCATCGTGGCCAGGGCTACTTCTTATGTTTGCCGTCCCACGAGATGCCCTGCTCCGAAATGGGTCCCTCCGCCAAGCCTCGGCCTCTTTGTGGTAGATGACATCGAGGCCGTTGATCTAACTTACCGTATTGACCCATGAGGTCCGGCTCTGATGTCACATGGTGGCCCGTTCTTCGCTCTTGGCGTGTTCGTGTTCAAGATGCGGCTCCTCAACCCGAGTAGATTCCTGGGATATGGCTCTATTTCCCCGCGCTAGAATCTGCCGACCCCTTTTTTGACGCCTTGGCAGGTTCGTGTTCATCATTTACTAGGTATTAAGGGACTAACCGATCAACCCGGCTTCAGTTTTTGAACCCGAAAACTTGGTCTGTTCGTGTTCTGCATTTCTTCTCCCCGTTCTGACCCCACTAGGGCGCGGAAGCATAAACGGGATAAGATTGTGACTAGGATGGAGTGGATGGAGCTACTCCATACTAAAGTCGTATTAATAGCCCCGTGGAGCCCCACGTTAAATATCTGCCTTGGAAAGTCGATAGCAATCCCAAAAACGTAAGGGGTTCTAAGTCAATCTGAAGTGGCTTCGGGAACAAGCCTCGTATCATTGGAGGGGATGCCTTCGAAGGCTTGACAGAATTGGAGTCATAGCAAACTGCTTCACAGGAAGTTCAAACGGGCAAACAGGTCAAGGCCACTGCTGGCTGCTTCTCAGGGGGAGCAACTCGATAGTCCTCAGGAAAGTCCAGCGAGACCATGCACCAAGCACAGAGCTAGATGAATTGCTCGTCGATGTTGTTTTAGACCAAAAGGCCGGTTGTCCCACGACAGACGGGTGGTCATGAGACTCGGGATGTCATCCACAACGGCCCCGGGCACGCCGAGATTGGGAATGTGGCGGAGGGCCTCGCTGGTGAGGCGGTGTTATCCGTGCACGCTCACTATGGCTTGGGATGCATTAGTCATACTCTTTTTTGGTCTCCTTAATTAAAGACCGCCCTTTTGCCTACTAGGCCACATCGTGAAAAGTGGGTTAAACCCTCAAAAGATCTCGGAAACGGCAAAAACATACAACACCAGGTATTCGCTGGTCGTCACCGACCCAACTACTAATCCGGCCCTCATTGGCTTATCTATGGGAGAGCGGACGGGATCCCGAGTTTTCCAATGGGTATGGTCGTATGTGCAAATTTTCATACACTACGCTGGCCATTACCTCTTAGAAGGCGTGGTTAGATGAGAGTCGAGACCGTGCGTGATACGGCAACTGAGACTTAGCCCTCGCTGATTTGAGGACAAGAAGAAATAACGATACAAGGACAGGCCAACTCATCTTGAAGTTGTCTAGATAGCCACCTGTATCCAAGTTGTCGCGCGCGCGGTTTGCACCCGAGTTACTTGGCTACATTTGTCACGAGATGTAGGTGAGGTTAATGCTGCCTACCTTCTGAGAGTGGTCCACGTTTTTGTGACGTTCCTGTTGTGCAAACAGTGTCATTTCGTCGTTACCAAAAGGCCTTTCTTCACACAAGCTGCTAAAATACAAACACAAACTCTTCATTTTCCAAATCCGTCAAGTTGTCAAACGCCTCGCACCAACATTCTCTTCAGCCTGCTCCTCTCCAGCCGCAGCCATCTCATTCCCATTATCCCCAGCAGCCTGCGCGGCTTGCTCTTGCTTAGCTTTCTCGGCCTCAGCGGCGGAGAACAAACTTGTGTCGATGATTACAGCGCTTTTGCCCATGGCCACGCGGCGCTTGCTATGCGAGCGGTTGAGGAAGGCGAGATACAGGCTCACGAGGACGACGAGAACGACGATGACGCAGTAGAGCACTAGGTTGGACGTCAGACCGCGGGTGTACCTGGGTGCCTCGGCGGGCTTGTAGAGGAGGGGACCGACAACGTTGCCAACGGATTGACCGATGAAGAGGACGGCGGAAGTGCACTTTCGCTTGGTATCGCCGGCTGTGTTGGCAGCGGACCAGGAGTAGATGAGGGTTGCTAGGCAGGTGTAAGTCAAAGGGTTTTTATGCTAAGAGTGTGCGGGCTGATGAAGCTTACTAATTCCTGGGTAGACAGAGATGAGATAGTATCCCACCAGACGCGCAGCTTGCTGACCGCTGGTAGGAAGAACCATCAACATGACACAGCCAGCGATGGGTGGAATGCAAAGACCAGCGATGACTGGGCCCTTCTTGTGGATCTTGGTAGCGATCCAAGAGCCGCCAACAGTGGCGACGAGCTGGACGAAACCAAAGGGGATGTTGAACAGGATAGTCTGGAAGGAGTCGAAGCCAAAGGACTTGATAAGTCAAACCCCCCACTTCCTGGCACCCCCCTGTTTCTGGCACCACAAAAACGATGGGATCACAACCCGACCTCCTCATTACTATTAACTATTGATCCTCAACCACACCCACTACAATACAGCTGCCAGCCTCACTAGGGCATTCAGAGTCGCTGGATTCAGCCGTGATAACCTCCTTTTCACCCGCTTCGATTTGAGCCCGATGGATATCCCTGATGTTCGCGAACTTCGTGTTGGGATCGATTTGAACAGTCTTCCTCTTCCTCACTGCAGCGTTGGTAACTTGAGCCCTCAGGTGAGCTAGTTGCTGCTGGGCAGCTGCCAGTTGCCAGGCCTGCTCTGTGAAGCCTTTTTTCACCTTCCTGAATAGCAGCCGTTGAGTGCTGGTATCATTGTCGAGTTGGGTGTATAAGTGCAGTTGACCGCTGAGCTCTGCCAGCTTCCTGGGTGTCGACCAGACCACTGCAGAGGAGGCAGAATCCCATGGCTCAACAGGGGTAGTTTGTTGACCATTATGGCATCGCTTTCTGCCCTGACTAGTTGGTTTGGGTGTGGTGGGCTTAGCAGGAGGCTCAGGTAGTACCATAGGGTTCACCAGGGGCTTAACCATCGCCACAGGGTGTAGACCAGTCCACTTCCAACCACTTCTGATGTTCGAGACTGATAGACCAGCAAGTCGAGCCTTCTGGTAACAGTCCAGGAAGTTCCTTTTACCTATAATGGTAGAGTCGTTCCATTGAGACAAGTAACCGAGCTCCTTCCGATAGGCTGACTTAACAGGGCTGAAGACAGACTGGTCAAGAGGCTGGAGGACATGAGAGGAGTGTGGTGGTAAGAACAGTAAATGGATATTGTTAATATAGCAATTCCACATGAAGTCTGTCGTCGTATGACTCCCATGCCCATCCACAATCAGCAGTCGAGCCTCCCCCTCAGCCTCAGGCATAGTCTGTGGGATGAACACCTTCTCTAACCATTCAATGGCAGTTAAGTCTGTAGTCCAGCCATTATCTGTTGCTGTGAACTCCCACCCATCGTATGGAACGAGATGTAATGGAAACCACTGCTGTTGGACTGTCTTCCCCTTGAAAATGATAAGAGGACGAAGTGCCCTACCCAAGGCTGAGATACACTCAATGATAGAGACCCATGCCCTCGACCCAGGTTGTTTCTTGCGAACAGACGTCGTCTCAGCCATACCCAGCACTAACCCATTAGCTCCCTGACCCTCGAGGATGCCAGTCTCATCCATATTATATCTGTTGGCTGGTTTGATGTCCTTGATCTCAGGGATAGCGAGGAACTTAAACCAGTTCCTAATGACCTCAGTAGATGCCCCATTAACGCGTCTAGAATCGATAGAACGACTTCTCTGAACCTTAATGATAGGGTTCCTTCTCACAAAGGCATAGATCCAGCCTTTTCCCAGTGGTTTGGTATCCCCAGCAGCAGCCAGAACTCGCTCTGCGAATTCCTTCACCTGTTGGTGCGTTGGTGCGAGGCCCAGCGAAGCCTGAATGCGAACCCATTGTGCCAGCTTACTCTCCTGGTCAGGAGACAGCCTCTGCCAGTCAGCAAAAGCCACTTTCCTAGTCTGACCACCTTGGAGACGTAGTTGGAGGGTTGATCGTGGTATCCCATACTCCAATGAGGCTCTCTTTTGACTCTTGCCGTTTGAGATGTCCTCGAGAGCCTGACGAAGCTGATCTTCGGTATATTGAGGCATTATATATAGAAGAAGGTATGTGCAAAAGATGAGCCCATTTGGACGCGAATTGAAAATGTTGTGACAAAAGGAGGTTGGGGGTGCCCGGGCATTGGGTTGTGGTGGATTTTCGCGTTTTTGTGGGTGCCAGAAACAGGGGGGTGCCAGGAAGTGGGGGGTTTAACTTGATCAGAGGGCCGAACGTAGAGATGCCTCCAGAGGGGATCCTACCAGACATTAGTTCATGTGAAACTTTGTAAAAGGGGGCGAAGGGACTCACGAGATGGAAAAGACGAGGGAAAACCAGCACCACGTTTTGATATCAAGAATACTCTCTTTGAAATGATCCCAGCGCCACTCGCGGGACATGACACCCTGTTGATTCATGCGGAGACGTTCAATGGCGATCAGCTTGTCATGGTCGTTGAGGAACTTGGCTTCGACTGGAGAATCCGGCATGTAGAGGAACATGATGATGGAGAAGACCACTGTGATGATACCGAAGAAGATGAAGATGATCTAACCATATCAATTAGCGCTTGTACTTTTGGTGCGACTGAGTGTTTATTGTCCGAGTTGAGGGCTTACCTGATACTCCTTGAGGGGAGAAGAGATGTGTCCCAGGCCATAGGTAATGAGACTGCCAAACTAAGGGATGTCAGTAAGGTTTAGAAGAGGCTTAATGTCGACACAACGCACCATGTTGGTGAAGCCATTCATGGCGTACCAATAACTGATCCTCAGCGTCTGCTCACGTCGTCGCCACCACATCTGCGTAATCCCCACGAACGCAGGCGCAACACTAGACTCGAACGCCCCAAGAAAGAGTCTCGCGGTCAGAAGCCCACCAAAATTGTGCGCTGCCGCCTCTCAAGTTGGGGTGCTGACACAGGGTGGAAGCTCTCAGAGGCCAACTGCAGTTAGGGGTAGAATGATGAATTACTGAAATCTGCTCCTCCCTCGACGTGTAATCCCTGCGCTGTATATATATATATCTGAGCTACTCCTTTGTTGCTTGGACTCCTTACTACCTCTAACTAGCCCCTATCCGGGAGGGCTCTGACACCGCCATGCAAGATAAGGTGATACCCCAAAAGGCAACCATGCAACTGGTGAATTTGCCAACAGGCCACTTTACTAGCAACCATGCAAGCGGAAACTGCATCACTAGCTGGGCGAGGTAGACGACGGACCCCAGCCACGAGTACTGGTCCCCGACGAGCCCGGTATCCTCGATGAGACCAAAAATGGAGGCGTAGGCGAGGGTGGACTTGTCGATGCCCTGGAGGAAGTAGACGAAGAGCATCAAGGGCAGGATGACGAGTTTGATCTTGCGCAGGACGCGGGCGTTGTCTGCGGGCGTGACGACGACGCGGTCCTCTGGCGAAGCGCCTGATTTGCCCAGGAGCTCTGCGGCGGCATCGCGGCGGTGAGTTGTGGTTTCTTGGTGGGCTGGTGCGTGTTCGACTTGGTCCACTGGGGCCTTGTTCTGGTCCTCGTTTGTGGCCATGATGATTAGACTTGTCAAGGGGTGCCTCTGGTTGTAAGTGATGGAAAGGTCCTCCTTCAGACAGACAGGCAAGTTACGACGAGAACGTAGAACTTCAGTGGAACATGAAGATGATTCGGATAGAATTAGAAAGAGAACCCGGGGATTATAGATATGGGCGGCACTTGTCCCAAAACATGTCGGCTGATGTATTGGCTGCGAGTCGGTCGCCGAGAAGGGGGTTGACAAGGGTACTTAGTGCGGTTTTCTTCAGGCATCGGACCACGGTCTTGGTAATAACAGCAGGGGGAACTCAGCAAAGGTGGCTAGCATGCCGTCTTTGAGCCACCAAAGGCTTGTTTCCGTGGGTGACGCTGTGGTTTAATTCCCCCATTGGACCTATTCTTTTTCGTATTGCAGCTATTTTCAATACGACGGGACCAGACTTTGGCAGACCAACTTCACGTGGTCACTGTTGCCATGATGGGCTTGAAGTAGACTTCGAATAATATATCTCTTGACGCGAAGATTCCACCTGGTAGAATTGCCGTCCATCATCGGACTACGGCACAAGGATACGCACACTAGACCTCCACGCGTTCCGCGCATCTCTTGAGATGGGGGCGGTCAACGAGCCGTGTCACAGAGATGAATAGGATATTTCACGAGAGCGAGTAGCGGGGAGAAATCCGAGGATTGAAGCATCACGAGTGGCTGGAACGGTTGGCTGTCTGGTGTCTGGGTGGAGGTTATCAGCTCACCTCCCCACATGGAGAGGGATTTGTACTCCGCGCGGGGGAAGTTAGGGATTTGTTGGGGGAAATCGGGGAGCACGGGAATATCGGTGCAACAAACTGCCCCAGATTGTCCCCCAGAGTCTCCAGATCATGCGATAGATCGCGTGAACAATGCGGAGGGAGGGAGGGGAAACAACACGGAGTTACGAACGAGAGAGGAGAGTTGATGACAGCTAGAGACTAAGACAATCAGACGAGAACTGGGACCGACAACGCGGCAACAGACTCGGAGGTTGGTCGACGTCGCCGTCTATTGGCCGCAACAAGTCCGTTTTCTCCGGCTTGTTGCCGTCCCCCGCAGCGGCTCGGCGGTAAAGTTTCCTCTTTTGGGGCGGCATTGTCATCGGCATCTAACTGCTTTTGGGGCGGCTCATGACACGACGCACCGCCATGAAAATCCACCACGAGTCAGAAGGCTACAACATCATTGGTCTCGTCTCTTGAGATGACTACGATGATCCAGCTTTTCCCCGTTCTTATCCTTGGTCCCGTCTGGGGGATGTGGATTTCGGGGTGGTTTCGGGGAAAGCTGTTCCCCATTCCCCAATAACATGCTGGTGTGCTACACGTAACTCGGGACACCATTCGCACGAGGTAGGTGGGTTCAATGTTGTAGTCGTTTACTCGGATGCTGAGTCCGAGTCCTCCTCACGATGCGATTCGCGTTGCCAGTCTTAGACAAAGTTGTCAGATATCTTCCGTTTAGCCAAAAGTGATGTATACTGCGATATCGGAAAGCCTCAAACTTTAAGAATACGTTCATCTGCACCGCTATGATCTATCCCATAGCTTAGAACACCTCCCCCCACTTCCTACGATAGCAACATCACAGGTCCGCCTTCATTTCCCCTCATTTCAGTAAGAAGGCCACCCAAACTCCAATTTCCGCCCACTGGTGAACTGAGAGAAGATTGAAGTATCACAAAGAACACACATTACTCAAGATGCTCCTCCAAAACGAAAAGATTCCCACCGGGTATGCGCCCCAAGAGGTCAAGGGCGCCGCGTCGGCATCCTCCATACAACTCAAGTCCTCAGAAGGCCATTCTGAGGACTTCACCTTCACATTTGAAATCGTAAGGTCAAATGTCTTCCGCACAACTGTCACCTCGGAGACGCGTCCTATCCCTCCCTTCCCCAGCGCACACAAGCCTAGCACAGACCTGGCCCCGAAAGACATCCAGATCAAGACATCAGAAAAGTCACAATCATTCACCACCTCGAACGTCAAGGCCGTCGTAGAATGGTCAAACACACCCATTATCTCCCTATTCGTCGGCCAAGATGACTCCGGAAAGCCCATCCACGCCGACCTCCCCTTCCGCTCCTACGCCGCGGACGGGCCCGGAGTCGCTCACTACTCCTCCTACAAGAAGCACACCCTCCACGTGGGGCTCGGAGAGAAGGCGGCGCCGATGGACCTTGCGGGCCGCGGGTTCATCATCTCCGCGAGTGACACCTTTGGATACGACGCCTACCGCACGGATCCGCTGTACAAGCACATCCCGCTCCTCATCAACGTCACCCCCGAGGGCGCCGTTGGTATCTTTTCCACGGCCCACTCACGCTCAACATGGTCCATCGGATCCGAGCTCGACGGCATGTGGGGTGCGTACAAGGTGCACCGCCAGTCCCACGGCGGTCTCGAGGAGTACATCATTGTCGGCAAGAACGTTGCCGAAGTCGTACACTCTTACGCGGAGCTCGTTGGCTTTCCCCTGCGTGTGCCGCGGTATATGATGGGTTACGTTGGCGGTGGCATGAAGTACAGCGCCATGGACACCCCGCGGGCCCACGAAGCGATCATGGGGTGGATCAAGAACTGCGAGAAGCACGATATTCCCTTCTCTGCGTTCCAGATGAGCTCCGGGTACACTGTTGCTGAGCAAGAACCCAAGACTCGCAATGTCTTTACGTGGAATTACCATCGTTTCCCTGACCCAAGGGCTTTTACCCGCGAGGCGCACTCGCACGGTCTTCGCCTGTTGGCCAATGTCAAGCCCTACGTGCTTGCTACGCATCCCGCGTACAAGAAGCTGTCTGAAGATGGTGCTTTCTTCAAGGATCCGTCCACTGGAAAGACTGCAGTAACGAGACTTTGGAGTGCTGGTGGAGGTGAGAGCGGAGAGGGAAGTCACCTGGACTTCACCAGCAATTCCGGATACCAGTGGTGGTATGATGGTGTCGTTGGACTGAAGAAGGTCGGTATTGATGTCATGTGGAACGATAACAATGAGTACACTGTGCCCGACGACGAGTGGCAATGCGCCCTCGAGAAGACGGATCTAGTACCAATTCCTGAGGGTCTCAGCCGCAAGGATGTTGGCATTTGGGGCCGCGCCATCCACACCGAGCTCATGGGCAAGGCTTCTCATGATGCAACTATCGAGGGCAAGCCCGAGGAGCGACCTTTCGTTCTCACGCGTAGTGCCACGGCCGGAACCATGAAGTACTGCGGTGCCTCTTGGAGTGGTGACAACGTCACCGCCTGGGAGTCCATGAGAGGCGGGAACTCTCTGGCCCTCAACGCCAGCTTCTCTCTCCTTCATGTGAGTAACCCAAGAGCATCCCCATCTCATAACCAGACTAATATTCGTAGTGCTACGGCCACGATATCGGCGGCTTCGAAGGGCCCCAACCTACCCCAGAGCACCTCGTTCGCTGGATCCAGCTCGGCGTCCACTCACCCCGGTTTGCCATCAACTGCTTCAAGACCAGCGAGGCAGATAACCTCATCGGCGGCGTCATCGAGCCCTGGATGTACCCCACCGCGACGCCCATCATCCGGGCCACAATCAAGCGCCGCTACGAGCTTGTCCCCTACACCTACTCCCAGAACCTCCGCGCCCACCACACCGCAACCCCACCCCAGCGATGGACCGGTTGGGGCTACGAGGCCGACCCAGAGGTGTGGACCGAGGCGATCAAGGACGGTGACACGCAGTTCTGGTTCGGTGATGCGTTCATCATTGTCGGCGTTTACGAGCCAGGTGTCGACACCGCAAGGGTATACCTCCCGAAGAAGGGCGACGGCAGCGACTTTGGGTTCCTCAACACGAATGCGCCGTATGAACATTTTGAGGCGGGTAAGTGGCATACTGTGCTCTCGCCTTGGTACAGCTCCATCCCCGTCATCGCAAAGATTGGCTCGGCTGTGCCTGTGGGCAAGCCGCTCGACACAACATCGCTCAAGGAGGCGGACCCGGAGTTCCCGAACCAGGCCAAGGACGACTGGCGCGGTGTGGAGATCTTCCCTCCGCCTTCGCTGCGCGGAGCTGCTGCCCAAGGCTCTGAGACGGAGCTGGGCGGCGAAGACGTGAAGGGTGTGGTCTTCGAGGACAGCTGGTACGAGGACGATGGTATCAGCCGTAAGGTGCCTGCCGAATTCAAGTTCACCATCCGATATGAGATTGTTGAGCAGCGGATCTCCATTGAGGTCAAGGCTGTTGTTACTGAAGGCTTAAAGGAGAAGTGGAGTCCTCTGTGGCTTGAGAAAGGCGTTGATGTGTTGTTACCTGTGGGAGAAGAGCGGACGGTGATTGTGAACGGAGCCGAGGCTCAAGAGAAGTCGCTGGATGCTCGGGGCAGACGAGTGTGGACTGTGCCCGTCACTTTGTAAATGACTTTGACTTGTTTGGTGTTGAGAGGATAGACTTTTTCTGAATCATACGTGATGCCCGTCGAATCGATGCCAGCCAGGGCAATAAAGCACTCTTGTAACCTTGTCATCAATGGGGCATTTCGATTTACTCAAGTATGAGTTCAAGTTGCATAAGCCAAATCACGCTCGAGAACGGAAGATCGTTAATAAGCATGGTAGTTGTATTGGGGATTGTGCAATGTGGTATCGATGTCCTATGAGGCGATGCACCCAATCTAGCCCAGAATCATCCTTCCCAAATGACCAAGTACGAGAGACAGCTCTATGTGTGATCCATCCAAATCCGTCTCTTCAGGAATGTCACTTCCATAACTCCAACGCAAGAAGACCCCTCCAGTTTAATCGCTCCACATTCATGCCTGTGTCGATGTCAATCCATCCGATGACCTGACGACAGCAGGTCTTTGTAGTTGGGACACGAGCCCAGTGCCGCTGGATGTCGTAATTATTGTTTCCGTTGCGTGTTATAATGTGTGACAAGCTAGACAAATACGGTCTCCAAGGACTTGAGACCAGAGAAGATAAGGCGCCATTTTCCGTTACGCTTCTTGCTCTTGGTCTTGCACATTACATCGATAGTCCGACGAGGATCTTCAGAGCCAGTACATTCAACAATGGCGTGCTCAATATTCTTGCACCGGGCCGCTATCTCAGGCGAGACGCTCATTCGGTACAATGGAGCCTTCAAGTGCAAGACGTCGATAGTCGAATTGAGGTAGGCGAAGTCAGGATATCGGGAGGTTTGCCGATTGTGAACCTCGATATCGAAACCCAGGCCCTGGTCGGTGTCTTCCAGGCGTCGCATGCGGACCTTGTGGCGGATAGTCCGGGCGATCTCGCGAGACAGGTAGTTGATTTGGTTGTCGATGGCGTTGTAATGGCTGATCGACTCGTCTTTGCCCCTGAGATGAAGCTTTGAGATTTCGCGTTCCTCTCTGTCCAGTCTGTTGCCCTTACCCTTGACTGGGCGGCGAAAGTCGTGGATGACTGCGTAGAAGTGGCGAGGCTCGAGATAGAATTCCTCCCAGACCATGATTTGGACCTCGCATGGGAACTTGGCGAACTGGTGGAAGCTATCTGCTGGAGCTTCGACTTCGACTTGAGTGTCGGCCTTGGCCTTGGCTGCGGTCTTGAAATTGGTCATCTCGCTAGCAGCGGGAGACTTCTTGGAAGACTTGTTGTTGCAACGACGAGCACAGATTTTGAATATTGGTTGTGAATAAAGAGTGTGTGGATGAGTAGAATGGTACAGTAGACAGTGGGTGAGTTGTGCACTGTGGGTTATTCGAAAGACCAAGAATGTGTGTGTATGTAGGATGGATGGATGGATGGCCTGTTGCATTTCGGAGAATTGAATGCTTCTCTTTATACCCCCCGGTGGATACTTGATAAACTTTCGACTCAACCCTACTTACCAATAGGGTGTTCTGGCTTCCATTGACTTTCAGTCTTCTACGGTTCGCAACTTCGCTCGAGGGCATTGATGGCAACTGAGGCAGAGTAGTTCCCCGGTTTCCTTCCATAACGCCCACCATTCTTGTGAGCTCCACCATCCCGCCTTTCTCCGAAGTCTTTCTCCCTCAGAGGTGCCTAGTAGTCGTTTGTTGAGCTCGGGCCGTTGTGCAGGATATTCTCCCGTCGAGATCGTCAAGTCAGTACCGCGGGATAGAATAACTCAAAAACTCCGCAATGAAAAGTTGCCAACCTGGGCTCGTGAGATTCATTTAATAAGAGATTTGTTCCCAGTCGATTGAGTGCTTGGTGAGTCTCATTGCGTTCATACTGCGCATTATCCCGGTCTTCTGGTTCGATGAATTAGCCGCCATGCCAGTAAAATACAACCTGTCTCACGGCTTGTAACCTATATGGCTGATTTACCAAGCAAATTGGAAAAGTAAAATCTTGTACGGAGCGCATCAACACTTATTGAGTCGACTGAAGTTCCTCAGTCTCATAGGCTGGCAGTTTACTTAATACGTGTTGTCCGCTACTTTCACTCACATACATGATACGTCCACTGTTATCCTTTTAGAGAGAAATTGCAATATTTTGATGTGGACAGCTTTTCCGCGACTACTTATTCATACGCCCGAGGTACAACTTGAAAGAAATCCTCTGTCTGCTGTGTCTGGCACGGCTTGTACGTTGCTCTAGCTAGGGCGTATAACCTTTTCTCCACGAGGTCAGAACCTAACCAAAGCAGATCGGGACGACTGCAGTGCCCGCACGTGTCTAAAAACACTTTTACTCCAATAATTCGATCCATGTCCAAGTCAGCGTATACGATGCCCTCCTCATCGTCCGCAAGGTCTGTTGAGATTTTGCTTCCAGCTGGTCCATAGACTGCACAGTATCCGCCGCCTGGCTTGCTATACAACTGTCCAGAATGTGTCTGCATCTTGTCAATCGCGTCTTTGGTAAGAACTCCTGTGCAGTGTAGCACGAAGCAGGAACCCTTGACGGCGTATATTCGAGACATGCTTTGTTGTCCTAGTAACGAGTCAGTCTCATCACCAGTGCCCATTTCAGGCAGTGCCAACTGGCTGATGATGTAGCCATTTAAGGCAATGATACTGACCTTCCGCTGTTGTGTTCCACAAAGCCTCTCCACCCCTGCCCGGCATCGTCGGTGGCCAAGCAGCAATGTGGACTTGCTCCCCTTGGGAATACGTGTGGTATTTCAAAAGAGGCTGAGTATGCTCCCAGCAGTTGAGTCCCCCAACCTTACCCACGCCCGGGACGCTCGCAACGTTGCGAAGAGATGATCCACTACCTTCGCCAAAGATTCTTCTTTCCACGTTGGTGGGCTTGATCTTACGCCGATTCATTCTGATCAATCCATCGGAACCGATATGTGACTGCTATGTAAAGAGAATCATCATCGTTCTCTGAGTATCCAAGATGAACTTCAATATTGTTCTCTGCGGCCGCAGCACGTATTCGTTTCATCTCTGGCGAGTCTCGCTTGAGGGAATTTTTGATGTAGCGCTTGGTCAGGTCAACATCTATCCCGCGTGACCTTTTGAACTCGATTAGGTATTTTCGGTGTCAGGGACAAGTGGCAAGGATTACATACCAAATCCAAAAGGGATAGCCTGGGATGAAGGTCTCCGGGAAAGCAATCAGGTGTGCCCCTGCCCGGCTAGCTTCAGCAATAATATGGCATGTCTTGTCGACACTGGCCTGGAGGTCGAAGTCGATCGATGCTTCCTGGGCCAGAGCAACACGAACGTTCTTTGAAGGAGTCATTTCGCAAGCTGGCAGGTATCTAGAAGTTAAAGTTGAAAAGTCTGCTCATCTTATTCGAGGGCTATGTAATAGTTAGACTTGCTTTACGCTACTACCGCACACTTTATATGACTAGCGGGATTAGATAAGGACAAGATCATACCTGTCAACTCAGCCCTAGAGGGGTAATGGATCTGACGGACATCTCATTCAATAACAATTAGAGCGCTGATTGCTTTCCCGAATCAGTAAGCAACTGATTGTTAGCTTGCAAGTTTAGCCTTTGACGTTCAAATGCCGAGAATCCTTGGAAGCGGGTCGAGATTGCTCCTCATGCGGGTTGAATTTTGATCTTTGATGAAATGCTGTCCCAAAACAGTAATTCTCAGCCGCCACAGTCCTCTTTGCAGATTTGCCTTGTATCCAATGACGCCGTACGGAGCTAGCTGCCATGGTTCTGTACTAATTCCATCACTCACTAATGAACACGTGCTTTACCATAGTAAGTATACTAGGCTGCACGATTTCGATAGCCGAGTCGGAGTAAGAAGCAGACATTGGAAGATCGACCAGCTTGTCTCTGGCTATGCACGTGAACTCTCCTTAACCTCACTACTCACGGATCAGGTGAAAAGTCCAATGATTCATTATAAGCTTGCTAACTCGGTCACACGGTGATTACTATTTACGGCGAAGAGATGCCCTTCTTTGCCATGGTCTGTTTGAAGGCTTCGAGGGCAACCTCTGGTTGGTAAGCTGGGACCTCGTGACCCGCTTCATGAACTCTCAACCAACTCAAGTTCCTCACGTTCTTGTACTCGCCCATCTTCTTGCCGTTCATGTTGAAGTCTTTCATTTCCGCCTTTTCGAACTCCTCGCCACCAATCTTCTTGGCCGCATTGTAATTGCCAATGTGGTTGCAGATGAAGTCTATGGATGACAGTCAGCAACGTTGCAGAGACCCCACGGGGACAGGCCTCAAACTCACCAGCGTCACCGGCCCAGATGAGAACTTGTACATCCTTCTTCGTGATGTCTTGAAGCTTAGTAAGGAAGGATCGCTGGCCTGCGAAAATAAGGTCAGCTCCAAATTCTTTGGGCTCAGCTCAATTACGCTTACCGTCACCAGTCGAGGTGAACTTGTCGTATGGTGCTTGAGGGCATTCCTGATACTCGGATTTGGCACCGATAGCCTTCATGACCTCGGGCTTCTTGATGTATGCCTGATAGGTTCCCGGCGGGAATTTGTCGTCCTTAGCTCTGACATCGTAGACGTTGAAAGTTTTGGCCGCTTCAATGGGTGCTTCAACGGCTGCATAGCACGCATTCTCAGCGGCCACACAAGCCTCGTTCTGTCCCTCGAGACCAGTGCATTTCTCCATCGCAGGTTTGCAATCCTTCTCGTAGGCCTTGGTGAGCTCGTCAAACTTGGGCTGATCGATGATCTTGTTGTACGTATTGTTCACTGCATACTCCAAGTAGTCCTTGTATTGGACGACTGTCGTGAGTTGTCAGCATCTTTCCTCTCAACTTACGCCATCGTCTCGGGATCATCGCATACCTGGGTCAATCCAACCATTTCCGATACCGAGAGCGACAATCTTGATCTTTTCGCCCTTCACGGTGCCCTTGTCGATAGCATCATTTTGGGCCTGGAAATGGTCGATAAACTCCGGGCCGTAATGGCCGCCGTACGACTCAGTGAACAAGCCGAATTCGCGGCCCTTGTAATCGGGGAATTTGCTATAGAAGGACTGCATCAACGCCCAGACTTTTGGCGCGGCCTTGACGGTGCTGTCTGTATCACTCGTGCCGTAGCTGAAACCGGTCCCGATTGGCTGGTCCACATAGAGCTTTGATGGGTGTGCCGCCGTCAGCATGGAACATGGGGTAATAGCATTGAAGACGATGCGGAGGCATCAAGGTAATAAAAGGACGAGCGCGGTTGCGTTAAGCTTGTGGGGCCGTGTCAATCACACGCCGGGACGGACGGAGACTCACCATGTTGGCGACGTTGTTCCACGAGTTGGGGTTCAGAATGGGATCTGCGCCGGGGGCTTTGTTGAAGGTGCATGGCCCGTTTTCTTGGAAGAGACCGAGCATGGAGCTGCAGCCGGGGCCACCGTTCAGCCACAGAGCTACCGGAGCGGTATTCGCATCTTTGCGAGCTTCGAAGAACCAGAAAAACATGTTTTGGTCGGTACCTGCGGCATCTCGTCAGATTGTCTGGCGTCATCGCAAGGATGGTGAGAGTTGAGGCGAGGGATAAGACTTACCAACGTCGAAATAGCCAGAGTATTGCTTGACACCCTTGGTTGTCTCGCAGATTCCCGAGTCCTGGACATATCTCGTTCTGGAGCTTGTTGCCGCATGCTCATAAACCGTGAAGTTCGTTCCCAAGTCAGACATGAGACTGTAAGTCCTGTCGACAGAGTAGCTCTTAGGCGTCGCAAGCGCAGCAGCAAAGCTGGCCAGGCCGAGAGCGGCCACAGAGTGAGGAAGTAGAACTCTCATATTGGCACCGCTGTTGCGACTGGTTGATAGAGACGGCAAAGAAGATGTAGATGAGATAAGATTAAATCGCTGCGGGGGTGAAGAGCTAACAGTGATGAGGGCGGCAGGTGGATGGTATTTGAACTCAGCACGATGTGTGGGAGCACGGGTTGAGAAGGGTGTAGCGCGGGGACGCCAGGTAGGACAATCTTAGCCGATCTACGCACCTAGAGTTTGTCGTACGGGGACCTCTAACAGCTTCAGCTTTTGCTGCTTGTTGACCAGATAAGCAGCGAAACCCGTGTTCTTGGAGTCGGAGGTATTATTAAACAGCTAGAGTTGCTTCAATACAACGTAAGAAGAAAGAAAGTCTGTAGGCTACTGCAGCGCGCCGATCGCGTCTGTCGGCAAACCTCTTGTAAAGTTGTCGGGGGCCGGCAGATCGAGTGGGTGCAGCCGGGCGGGATAGACCGCAATTCGATGGGGCATCGCGAGCCGGTCAGCTCCACAGCTGCGTGCTTTTTTCCCTGTTTGAGGTTGGGCTGTGCAGCAACGTGCAGCCGCCCGTGGTGCAGCCTCGGCCAGACTGTCTCTCAACTCGTCGGGTGTTTCGCCTGACCGCGCCGTCTGATCAAAGGGAAACAAAGTCACCATTAGATACTGTTTCGCTGGCGAACGGAACAGTTCTCTCCCCAAGATTGAGTCTCATTTTCAGGGGTGAGCGCGCTGAATTGTTCGACAGGCTTACAAAATAGATAAAGAACTGCCTGCTACAGTCTAGAAATCTGGTAGTCGAAAGAGAAGAACGTTCAAGAGTAAGTTGAGGATGTGAGATGAGGTTCCGCAGAAGAGTCTCGTGGAAAGTTAAGCCCCTGGCGACGATCACCAATCACGAGAGCCCACGCAAAAATACGGTGTCGCAGCGCCACACGTGGCGCTGCCGGTTACTGCCGCACGATACCGCTTTCCACAAGCCGATTACCCGTCTTGTACGGTATATAGATATGACCCTCATACGGATCTTCCACTTGCTACCTCGCTTTGTGATATACGGTTATATGCACAAGCCGTCCTGTGGTAAGTTCTTCGGGATCTACATTCCAGTTGGAGGATGCCTCATGTTCATGCGAGGAAGATCCCTCCTTTGTCCAAAAGTCAGCCATCACAACCGTCGCCTTTGTGACGTTCAGGAGCCCTTGGGACGTTCTAAAATATGCTGTGTGAAAACTGGATTTTTTAGCTTACGATGCCTCGTTGAACCTTGAAGGGGCGCCGATGGTAGACTTTCGAAACCCTTGAGCCCGTCGAGTAGAATCACGATGGGCTGGTATACGAACGAGGCTGGCGCCGAAAGGCACGCGATTTCATCCAGGTCACGAGCAAACAGTAGGAAAAGAACAGGGATTCAATAACAGTCAGATATTATCATTACCATCCCTTCTCACGTATCATATACTGACCCCGTTTCATGGACTCATGTCATGCGATCGTCGTGAAAATATGTACAGAATGTGTGCAGATCTAGGTCTCAAATCTTAGATGGCTTTTCTTGAACAACAGGTTGCAAGTCAGACTTCGCAATGCTGTTCCTCTCACTGTCGCTGTCGCTAGGCACCACACCGTTGTTCTCCAACTCGGTGATCCTAGCAGTTTGCTCGCCTCGCCAATCTACTCTTGAGTCAGTACTACGATCTAAGTGTCGTCGAGGTTTTATGTTGATGAACTTACGTCTTGACTTCCAGGCTGGGACACCAGCGGCGAACATCTCATCAATCTCCTCGAGAGATTTCTTGGACATCTCGGGCATACAGAACCAGCCCCAGACCAGTCCGCAGGCTGAGATCGAACCGTAGATCAGGCCGACTCGGGAACCAAGGTTCGCCGGTTCCTGCAGCAGGTAGGGCAAGGTGAAAGATGAGATAAAGTTGCAGAGGTTGGCCATCAGCCAGAAAAGCATGACTGACTTGTCCCGGAGGGTGATGTGGGGAATCTCGGTCTTAGTAAGTTGCAAACTGTATAGGACATCAGCAAAGTTTCTTGTGGTCGCTGTGTGCATGAGTGGGGGTCACTCACGGGCCACCGAAAGACACGAAATGGAAGATAGGGAACATCATTGTCAATGCTACAATGCCCTTGTTGATGTCGACCGTTGGATGTGAGATCGTACCCAATCCACCCATAACCATGAGAACTGCCGTTTGCATGAGGCCCATGTATAAGAAAAGCGGACGTCGGCCAGCCTTGTCAATGATGAACATGAAAGTGATTGCGGTCGCAAGCAAGAGCCCTCGCTTGACCATGGTTGCCATGAACGGATCAATAACCTTCAAGCTCTTCAAAAAGATCGTGCCGTACAGGTTGGAGAATGATGAACCAGAAAGTTGAGCAAACGCAGCGGCAATGAGACCGTTGACGGTACGACGCTAGATGGACCATTAGCGGATGTGGTTCACCATGGAAGAAGCTTGCTTACCAGATTCGTGCCCTTGACCAAGTCCTTCCACTTTCCAGTGGTTTCACTCGTGTTGAGAGCTTCTTGGAGAAGCTTGGCCTCCTTTTCAGCATCGTAGTTTGGCATTGCTCCGTAGAGATAATCCAGATTCTCAACTGCCTTGGCATATTGACCTTTCCGAAGTAGCCATCGCGGAGATTCAGGGATGAGAACCCAGAAGCATAGAGAGAAAGCCGGGAAAATGAAGCCAATCCCCACCGGAATCTTCCAGCAATTGTCATCAGTGAGCTTGCTCGTAACATCGGTTATAATGGACGCAATGAAGGCTGCGAAGACGCCATTTACACCGTAAATGGCTGTGAGTGAGCCCCGAACGGCGGCTGGTGCGATCTCGGCCTGGAACATCGGAATGAGAAAAGCCTCCATGCCGACGTGGAAATTGACAATCATCCGGCCAGCGAGTAGCTGATTGTAACTCTTTGCGGTGTAAACAATGATTGTTCCGGCCATGCAAACAATATTGGTGAGAAAGAACACCAGCCTCCGGCCCCATCGCTCGCCGATCTGAGCTCCGCATATTACACCGACGGCGTAGACGAGAAGAGGGAATGAGTTCATGTAAGCCAACTTATTAGATGTGAATCCGAAGGCCTTCTTGGCTGGAATATAGTCGCCGAACCGTTGTTCAAACGCTTGGAGCCAACTGTCAGCTGGGGCTTCCTGGTGTTCAAATTAAGAATGAGATACTCACGTGTCATGGCCTGAATGGTGTTGAGTGTTGAGCCCTCATATCCAAATGTGAATACACTCATGCCAAAGACCAAGGTGACCATCAACAGATTAGATGTGATGTGACGGGTCACCTTGTAGTTGTGATGGCGCAGGTAGTCGAGCATGATGGGCGATTTGTTGTTTGTGTCCAAAAGAAGGAATGTTCAAGACCAGCTCAATTATTTCGATCTCTTGTCTTGGCATTTGCCTTTCGCCCTCGTGCGAACCAAATAGTAAAACCACCCGAAAGTGGGCAGGGAGGCTTTCTCTTTTATGAGTTGAATATCTATCTCCGAGTAGGAGGCAAGTGGGAAACCCTGGTGGATGGTGGTCTTACACCTCTGGGACTCACGGACAACTAGGAAAACCCAACCCAAACCCTCAGACCCCAGCTTTGGACCTTGAAGTTGGTGGTGCGAGCTTAAACGCCTCCCGTCGGATGCCGTCGGGGCATCACGGCACCACCAGAACGCTCTGTCCGCCAAGTGTACTACACATCGTTTCAATTCAGGCTGTCTCCTTGCTCCTGAGGCAAACCACATCCCAAATTTCACTCTGTATGACGGTCAGAAGACACCAGATCTCCCCTTGCCATTGTCGAATCAGACCTGTATGCGCTGATCATGGCAACCAAGTGCCAGACGTCTTCCACGACGTTTCGGTAAACTGGAGACCTAGTCTGTCCCCCTACCCTCCCTCGACCCTCGCACCTCGCGACCTTTCGCCAATGCTTCTTGGACAAAGGGGCCCAGGTCTTGCCTTGATCCTTTCCGGGATGCCCGCATGATTCAACTGATCATTTCCATGCAGATGCGATTTGACGGGACCGGGCCGTATGTATCGCCACTAGTATCCACGCCTAGAAGATACGCGGGGTACATTAGTACCATCTGAATTTGTCTTGTTTTTGAGTTAATGCCGAGAAATGCATCTCCAGCAGAACCCAGCTAAACTTACCCAATCCCACACTCTGTCGATGAGGCTTTGCCCAGCTACAGCCAGTGCAGGTCTGGCAATGAGCCAAGCTGGATTTTACTCCAAAGTCTACGCTGCATGCCAAATCGTAATTCGCGAGAACGACTTGGCTTCTGTCGTCCAGACTTCTGGGCCACCGTGGTGATTACTACGCAACCTAAATGCATCTTTCATTGCTCTAATACTTGCCACAACAGACCCGGGTCTCTGTCTGGGCAAGCCTCTTGGGGTAGAGCCTTGATGGAATTTGAAGCCAGCCAGTCACCACCAGTCCACGGAGAAACCTCATTTCCTCCTCTTTTAGTGGCCACAGGTTGATGCAATCATGGGACGAAATCAGCCCCATCAGGAAACCACACCGATGCTCAGCGTCACAGAGCGCCGACTCTCCCGTCTCAGGGCCCATTCTCGGCCGACACAGTGAGAGGAAGTCTAGCCAGCCACCACTTTCACCACCCACCATTAGCAGCCTCCTATATTATCACAACTCAATATGCCGTTGAGATTGGTATCCACACCAAGAGCCTCATCCTTCGAGATCGATGTAACCTGACACTGGACCCGTGTGATTAGCATCCCCATGTCTAGTACGTCAAAACAACGGCAGTGCATGATTGGAAAGGTCGTAATAAGATGTGCCGATCCGAAGTCGTACCGGAAGATCTCGCTGGTACCGCTTGCGGTGTTGCACGCGGGATGTTGAAGATATCCGCGCGCATTCAACTCAACATACCGACGAGATACAGCCTCACCGTCTCTCAGCGCTGAACCTTGACATTACCCAGGGCATTCATCTCGGGAATCTCCAACTATTGTTTCGGTCTTGGTAGCTCGCCTTCGGTAAAGAAAGCCTTGACCTTGTCTTGCTTGTCCGCAAAGAGGACGGATAGGTGGCGCTTTGGCCCGCCGCGAAACGCCTCCGCGTTTCGGCGTCAAAGAGGGACTACCCGGATTCGGGGAGCTCGTGGTTCCGCCTGCCCGAGTCTTGTTAGCCAATGGGTTTCATTCCTCGATCGCAAGTTGTTACGAATTTGAAGAGCTCAGCGAAGCTATTGTACAATTGTCGTTTGTCGATAGGAAAATCTGTCATTGTCTGGGGCTGAGCTCCATAAGGCTCTTTGTTGAGAACCATGTCATCTCGCGTCCGCTTATGATGTTGTCTTTGGCTTCGCATTTACTTCGACAAATATCTAGGTATACTAACCCTCCTCAAGGTTTCGTCTCTTCGTAGCCAAATTGCAGTGAACCGTTCGAAATTGAAGATGAACGGCCTCCATTTACATATCTTGAGACAATAATGAATGTTTCCTGTGAGCGGGAAGCTCTGAGGTCGTACGACGAAACCTGCAAAATTGGGTGACAGCCACTCGAAGGATCCAGGTCGTTGTTGACGGGAATACCGATGAAGCTCAAAACGCCGCACGTCAGATGAATGTCCAGATTTGGGCTACTCAGAGGCAAGAGGTGGCCTTTTCTTTTGGGACCTGACATCGTGATCAGACGTAGTAGCATGCTGCGGGCACTAGGAAACACTAACCGCGTCCCCCGCCTCCGCGGCACACGAGACTGGGCTAGAATGGAACAAGAGCACGAGGGCGCCAGGGATACTGGAGGTAACATTGCAGATGTCAACGATCAAGATCTAAGACCCCGCGCAGATAGCCCGTGTATTCTTGCTCTTTGGAGGGTGTCTGCTCCAGAAAATGGCACGGACACTGTCTTGAGCGATGGCATTGAGCAGGGTCATCGCGTGTGCACACAGCATTCGAGCCAAGCTCCGGGATTTTGACACTAACACATACCAAGCCTTCTTGGCGGTTGCATCTATGAGATCTTGTTAGAGGCTCTCATTAGCATTCACTGCGTGGTTCTTTGTCTGTCTGAGAGAGTCTCACTTAGGCTAGGGTTCTCAGTCTACATCCGGGAGTCGGAACTCTTGAGTTACGAATGAAATAGCACTGACGCAGGTGAGTACGACTGTACGAAATGGGCTTACGACATTGTTAACGAAGCCGCCTGTATGCTTCGCTCCTTTTCAATGGTGTATTCGTGGGCATTTCTTTCGTGTATGACATCGATGAATCAACCAGGGAGACCGTAGCTATCCCAGTGTCTGCAACGTCTGATGCCAAGCCACCAGGAAACATGTTAGATCAGAACCCCACTGCCAAGACCTTTGCAGCTTTCAACGTGGAGGTCAAAGAGCTGTCATTTGGTGACATCCAAAACTTCATCAAAGCAAGCTAACACTTTCCCACTTCCCGCTCTTGGCTAAAGATGGGGCTTTGAGTGATTGCTTCATAATCAAAATTTCGGGAAAACTGGATCAGAATCCTATTGCCCAGGACAGCTCGTGTGGATTTAGTCTTGTGGAGGCGCATGTCTCCAGCGCGTTTGACGACGAGGGGCAGGACGGAGAAACAACCCCATCAGGATACTTCGACGAGCTGTAGCCTAGCAGGTTGATTTGGGAAAGAAGTCCTATTCCCCGCGGATCATCGTCAGCCTCACGATTTGCTTCGATTTCGGGCCAAAGGAACACGTCTCTTAAGCCGAGGAAGATATCTCAACCACGTTGGAGTTTGGATACCACCTCTGATTAAGAGACTAGACTGCCTCGTGAGGCCGTGGCAACTGAATAACACACGGAATCCGCTCTGCCACCCTCTCTCTCCAGTCCATTTCACTGCCAAGCACTTCGATCACATCAAACAACTGATTCTAAACGAATAATGACCATGCCAAGCTCGTCCATGGTGGCCAACGGCGATCAGTGTCAAACTGGGTTCGGGCTGTGTAAACATCAATGAGATGATGAAAGCGGAAGTAATCGGATTGATTCTTTTGGATTTCTAAGGCATCACGGGTGCCAGTACCAAGAAAATGACGATGTTGTGGTTGCTGCTGGATGTCGAGGTCCACCCTAGTGGCGTCTTTCAGATGACTCCTTTGCTAATGACTCGCCTGCTCAATGCGACCTTGCGAGAATGTGACCATTTCTTGGCATGAATGAGGTACGGATAGGTGATGAGGATCAAAAGGCTTTCGGGAGATTTTCCAAATGGTCAGGGAAAGGAGAACAGGCACGCAGGGCCGCCACACTGTAGACGGGAGTCTCACCACAAAGGCAAATTCTGTATTAGTGTGTGCCTGGTCTCATCTGATGTGTGATACACCAACTGATTTGTGCGAAGGACCTGACCCCGACCTTCAGTTTGACGTCACTTTTCCAATGGAAAGCGGCAAAGAATAATCCGAAGGTGGCATACACCGTACTCTGTTAGCCTCTCTTCGGAAATCGGTGCACTGAGCGAGGCCGAGCGTCAAGAAGAAAAGGCTGAAATCACCCAGTGCATGGTCATGATCCAAGAGAAGTTCCGATTCGCCAATGCTTTTTGTCTGTGGTTTCAGCCCACCGGGACGACGGTCATGCTTCCGGTTCGTGTTCAATAACTATGAATTGTCCCATCATATTGTTGCCACGTTGTTCAACGCTTAGAGCCTCTTTGTGGTGAACATCACGACTTTGGCCTCATAATTCGGATAATCCGGCCGGATATTTTCGAGACGGATATTACGGCTGACAGAGATGTGATGATATTTCTAAGTAATGTCAATACCGAGACCGAGAGTGATCGGTGCGTTGAGTTCGAGGGACTGAGTTATACTCAAATGTCAAAGAGCATGGAGAAAATATCAAATTAGTCCAAGTGAATACAGTTAGGAGCGAGCGCCGGAAGACGGATGCAACGGCTGACCGGCTTCTTCAGCGTTCTGAAGTCGTCCATTCTTGTAAAATTCATGATATCGACAAAAACGAGAATTGTGGAAGTGTCTGACCGCAACTCTAAGAGAAAAGGATGGGCATAGTCCTGGAAGTCGCATTGCCGGCCACAATTCAGACAGTTGCTCGATAAGCACACAGTTATGCTTTGGGCGTGATTCGGCTTCATGCAAACTGGCTGGCATTGCAAATATTCTAATAACTTTGTTGTCGTGTGGTCACAATGTGGGCATCGAGATGTGTGATAGAGAACGGTTATCCATTGAAAGTAGAGAATATGATGATGATGTATTTAACGTCTGGTAACAAAAGGACGTACCGGGCGCTATACCGACATGGTCTATCCCATCGAGTGCTGCAAGGCGA